TGTGGCTGCCACGTGCCACTTGCTCCTTGGGGTCCCTGCGCAGAGTGGGACAAGGCTGCCACTGTCCCCTTGTCCATTATGCTTGGTGGGGCTCCCCTTGCGCCCCCCCAGCCCTGCTGCCTTTGTCTCCAGTGCCAGCTGCCCTGCGGGCGCCCATCCTGGCTCTCTGCCTTCCTCCTCCTCCTCCTCCTCCTCCCAGCCGTGGCCTCAGGCAGAGAGCTGGCATCAGCTGCTGGTGCTGGGCTGGTGACACCCAGCTCTGACTACTCCCCATCTGTCACCCACAGGGACACCTGCCTCTTGCTTCATGCTCCTCAGCTGAACGTCACCGCGACGAAAATCCTCCTACTTGGCAGAAGGCATGGCTGAATGCAGGAAGGTGGCAAAAATAGCCCTGCACGTCGCACATCTTGCACGGGTTCATGAAGTTTGCAGGAGAGACAGGGCCACTGCTCAGAGGGTCAGTGTGTGGGGCACCAAAACGCCACCTGCCCCAGGGATGACAGCAACCCCATGGCTGCACGGGGCAGGCAGTCTTGGGGAAAACCATCCAAAACTTGAGCGCAAGCAAGACAACAGAATCCCCTTGTCCGCCTGGCCACCATTTTGGGCGTTGCCGTTCTGTCTCTCAAATTTTGCATGGGGTGCTGACATTAATGCTTCTTTTGCTGGGTGCCGCTGCTCAGGAACAGAGGTCACTGAGTCCCCACTGCCAGGCACGGGGCACCCGGTGTCACCATGCTGTCCCAGGGCTGGTGTTGCCCCCGATCTGGGGCAGCTGAAGCCCAGCCAGCTGTTCGCCAGGGATGCCGGCACTGGGCTTGCCGACCCCACGGCATGGTGCCCCATCCCGCAATGGCTCATTCACACGTTCCGTACACCCTGCCTCATTTGCTCGCCATCCTCATGGGGTCCCTTCCCCAACCCCACCGTGCCCCTGGCCCACAGCTCTCTGGCAGGCCTCACCGGCCCTGCTGGGGGCACAGCTCGGTCCTGCCACACTGATGCCCCTTTC